GGGAGCCGCGGGTGCCGGTCCCGGCCGGCGCTGAGCGGGGTCCTGTGGTCGCAGGTGCACCTGGTGGACCAGCACGTCGAGAAGGAGTTCCACACACTGCAGGACACCTTCAAGGTAACGTCCATCAGCGGAGACACCAGCCACAAGGTCTTCTTTGCCTACCTGGTAAAGAAGAGTGATGTTGTCATCTGCACAGCCCAGATCCTGCAGAATGCGCTGGTCAGCACTGAAGAGGACATGCACGTGGACCTGACAGGTGGGTGTTGGATCCCGCATCCTGCTGGTCCCAAGACCCTGGCTGAGCCCCCAGCTGAGCCCCCAGCTGAGCCCCCATCTCACCCCACTCCCCTCCCTGGTCTGGCACAGATTTCTCACTGCTGGTGATAGACGAGTGCCATCACACACACAAGGACTCTGTCTACAACAAGATCATGCTGAGATATCTCCAGGGCAAGCTCAGTGGACAGCAGGACCTGCCACAAGTCCTGGGGTTGACGGCATCCCCTGGCACTGGGGGGGCAACCTCCTTCGAGGGGGCTGTAGAGCACATCCTGCAGGTGGGTCCTGTGCCCCCCATCCTGTGTTGGCACAGCTTCCCCAGGGATACAGCAGGATATTCCTTGTGATGGGGGTTGATGCTCAGGTGCTGGGCAGACCAGGGGAACATTCCTAAACTTGCCAGAGTGTCAGCGAGCACCACATGCTGCATTGTCCTGGGCTGCTGGGCTTATGGCTGGAAGTGGGGTCTTTGCCTCTCAGATCTGTGCCAATTTGGACACTGAGAAGATCACATCGGCACAGGAGGAGGTGCAGCAGCTGCAGAGCCACATCCCACAACCCAGGAAGCAGTATGACCTGTTCCAGGAGAGAGCACAGGTGAGGGGCGGCTGCTCAAAGCCATGGGGCTGCTTGCTGGGTGGAAGATGAGACCCCCCCCAAGCTCTGCTGAGTGGGGGGGCTGCATCCCTCCGTCCGCTTCGCTCAGGCCAGTGAGAGGAATCAATTGACCCAGAGCTTTGGTGCCGGGGCATCCTGCAACTGTCCAGGTCCCGCTATGCAAACAGCTACGGTTTCTGGGTCCTGAGCCCCTCCCTGCTCCCAGGACCCCTTTGGCGACCGGCTGAAGAAGGTGATGGAGCAGATCCATCGGTACATGGAGATGCCGCACTCATCACAGGACTTCGGCACGCAGATTTACGAGCAGCGCGTTGTGGAGCTGGAGAAGAGAGGTGAGGGGGCGGCAGTGTGGGTGTGGTGGGGCCGAGCCGCGGAGACGGGCTGTGACCACGGTGCCCCCCGGCCCTGCCAGCCGCGGAGATGTTTTGCCGCAAGACTCGGGCGTGTGCCCTGCACCTGCGCAAGTACAACGACGCTCTGCTGATCAATGACACCGTGCGGACGGTCGATGCCTTCCAGTGCCTCCAGCAGTTCTACAGCACTGAGAGGGATGCGAAGGACCCCACCGAACAGTTCCTCACCACCATGTTTGAGGGTAACAGAAGGGCCTGCAGGGGAGTGGTGCTGGCTGCATTTGGGGGACGGGGAGTCCCTTTGACACCCCTCTTGCCTGCACAGAGAACAGGGAGATCCTGCAGGCGCTTGCTGGGGACCAGCGCTATGAGAACCCCAGCCTGGGCAAGCTGGAGGAGATCCTGCGGGATCACTTCCAGCCCCTGGGTGCTTCTCGTGGCATCGTCTTCACCAAGACACGGCAGAGTGCCCACAGCCTGCTCAGCTGGCTGCAGGGCACGGCCACGCTCCGTGGGCAACACATCAGGGCCGCCGTCCTCACCGGCGCTGGCTACAGCAACCAGACCAGACACATGACACAGGTGAGCAGAGGGTGGGCAGGACCCCACTCTTCATGTTTCGGGGATGCTGTGGGTGCTGTGAGGGCCTCAGAGCCCTGCACAGCTGCTGAAGCATCACCCCTGTCCCCTCAGAATGAACAGCAAGATGTGATCAAGCAGTTCCGTGAGGGAGCCCTCAACCTGCTCTTCTCCACCAGCGTGGCCGAGGAGGGCCTGGACATCCCTGAGTGCAACATTGTGGTCCGCTATGGGCTGATGACCAATGAGATTGCCATGATGCAGGTGCTGCCCCGGCTTCCTCTGGCCCTTGCTGGGATGCCCCAAAGCCATGGGGGTGGGACATGGGGGTTCTTGCATTCCTTGCCTACTGACAGAGCCCTGGGGATGAGCCCAGCCCCTGGTAGAACATCTGCTTGGCAAGGCACAGGGGAGGGCAGAGGTGGCTCCATCCTCACAGGGTGGCACAGAGGG